TCTCTCTCTCTCTCTCTCTCTCTCTCTCTCTCTCTCTCTCTCTCTCTCTCTCTCTCTCTCTCTCTCTCTCTCTCTCGGGGTGTGTGGGTGTGGGTGTGTGTGTGTGTGGATTATGTGGGCTGGGTGATGCGACGGGGCTCGGGTTGCAAGAGCCACCATTCCCCAACCGAAAGGAAAAGAGAACCCACCATTCCAGCAAAAATAGACAAGTGCTATGCAGTGGGGGAAAAACACGGACAAAAGTTTCACCGGGGACAAAAAAGGCATCACACTGGCCAGGGCAGGTAGACACCTCTGTGGTCTAGGTGCTGCTGTGTGGCCAGGATAATACTATGTGGGTTGCATGGTGCCATGCAGACAGGGTGGTATGGCTGCAGGGTCCTACATGAGGTGGGTGGGTCGTACTATGTGGACTGGGTAGGCGATTGGCGCAACGTAGGCTGGATGGTACAATGTGGATTGGATGGTACTATGTGGACTGGGTGGTACCATGTGGATGGTATGATGAGGGCTGCATGGTGATACCTGGGTGGTACTATGTGGGTTGGGTGGGTACTATGTAGACTGGATGGTACCATGTGGACTGGGTGGGTACAATGCAGGTAATACAAATCCTGGTGGGGGCAAAACAAAAAGAAGAGGGACAACAAGAAGGCTACATGTGAAGAAGAAAAAAAAAAAGGAAAAAAAAGAAGGAAAAAAAAAAAGGAAAAAGAATTATAGTTTTGTTACTTCTGAATCCATTTCTGATCATTGGCGACAAAGATTGAAGGCCAGAAAGGAAGGATGATACCAAGAAGAGACCTGAGACCTGGGACGTGGGATCTGGGACCTGGGACTGAGATTAGGACCTGCCGCCTGCAATCTCGGACCTGGGGCCTGGGAATGGGACTGGGACCTCACTCCTGGCATCTTGAGCTCCTCTCTTTTTCTCTCCCTTGCAAATGAATGACAGAGATATGACGGTATTAAGCGACCACAGACTTTTGGGAATCTTGTCCTCTCTTGAGGTCTGCTGGTAATAATTGACTTTTAAAATGTTCAGACTTTTTAAATGTTTTTTAACTTTTTTTTTTTTTAATACCTGACACAAACACGCACGGCGGGGAAAAGGAAAGACAAAGGCTCTGTACCTGTCCTGGAATGAATCCACAACACCTAGTATATGCTTTGTGATAATCTCCACATCTTCCACCTGAGAAACAGCATCACCAGAACAAGAGAGAATATACACACAGAACTTAGGAGAAACTAGTGAGTGTGAAGCACATATGGGGAAGCAGGCAGCATTGAAAGAGGGAGAAAGGACGAGAGAGCGTGGGAAACACAAAGAGGAAGAGGGCATGGAAATAGAGAGCAAGGAGAAGTACGAGAAAGGAGGGGAGCGAGAGAGAGCGGAGAGAGGAGAGGAGGGGAGAGAGGGAAAGACGAAAGAAGAGAGAGAGGGACAAGGGGAGGGGAGCAGAAAAGAGGAGAGAGAGAGAGAGAGAGAGAGAGAGAGAGAGAGAGAGAGAGAGAGCTGTCTCTTATACACATCTAGATGTGTATAAGAGACAGACCTACAGGTCAGCCCCCCGCACAAAAAAAAAAAAAAA